ACACCTATGATCGAAGTTGCAACCTTATAACTGATTGGTTAGTTCATAGATCATAAATTCGCCTCTGATGATATTTTTTTAAACCAAAACACTGAATAAACTTCAGTTAATTCGAGGAACGAGTAAACAAAATCTTAGATTTAATGAAATGACAGAAATTGTAATAACCGTCAAAAGTTAAGAGGATATTGAAGAAGGATCTTGAAAATTTAAAGAAACACAATCAAGGATTTTGTATTATTAATAGTTGTTCGAGTGATATGGACGCAGGATGAGAAATGATTGTTCGTGCCTTTTCATTACTGCTAATACTTCTACTACCTCTACACTACTATGGGATTTTAATTGACAATTCGATCTCTGTGCTAATATGATAATGTCAACTTGAGCCGATGTATGTACGTAAGAAGTTCTACGTTGTAACTGACTGACTGACTGGCTGACTGACTGAAAAACAGTAGTTTCGAGTTTATATTTGGAAACTCAAACTACTTCCTTTGAATGACAAATTTCCAAAGAAAATAAAGAGTAACTATGTCATAGAACAACCTTTTATCGATTCATAAATAAAATCCTACGGTTATTTTTCATGAATATTGTAAATTTAGTAAACTTGACTGGTACTGATAACTACTGATGGAAAACCATTCTAGAGTATCCTAATACCTACTATGAAGTAGTACTCTTGTTAATATAAGAGAAGAGCCTTAAAATGGGGAGCAAAAAAAAGGGTAATGAGCACACTCTGAAACCGTATTATAACAGTCAAAGTTTCTTTCAATCCAAGGACTGTGAAATGTCCGGAAAGTTTCCAATTACTCAGAACAAAAAGCATTGAGTTTATAAATTGATTTTATATCTTACTTTATCTACGTTAAGTGTTATTTTGTATATTCAGTATCAAAATACATGTATATGAATGATATATGCTACACCTACTAAAGTTAGTGTGAGCTTAATACATTTTGGGTAACTTAACTATGTTGTGTATAATAGTGTTTTATTTCAATACTTTTAAGTCAGTAGATACATCGATAGCGTGGATAGGAAAACACTGTGGAGGCTTCTTCGACATTACGGTGTGCCTGAGAAAATAGTTAACATCATACGGAATTCTTATGATGGATTCAACTGCAAAATCGTACATGAAGGACAGCTAACAGACTCTTTCGAGGTGAAGACCGGTGTCATGGAAGGTTGCTTACTCTCACCCTTTCTCTTTCTCCTGGTCATCCACTGGATTATGAAGACGTCGACGTCTGGAGGGAATCACGGTATCAACTGGACAGTTAAGACACAGCTGGACGATCTGGACTTCGCAGATAACCTGGCTCTTCTGTTGCACACGCAACAACAAGTGCAAGAGAAGACGACCAGTATAGCAGCAGCCTCTGCAGCAGTAGGTCTCAACATACATAAAAGTAAAAGTACGATTCTACGATACAACACAACATGCGCCAACCAAATCACTCTTGATGGAGATGCCTTGGAGGACGGTAACACCTTTACATATCTGGGCAGCATCATCGACGAGAAAGGTGGATCCGATGCAGATGTGAGGGAGCGGATTGGCGAAGCAAGGGCTGCATTTCTACAGTTGAAAAATATCTGGAAATCCAAACAACTTTCAACCAAAACCAAAATCACGATTTTCAATACAAATGTCAAGACAGTTCTACTGTATGGAGCGGAAACATGGAGAACTACCAAAGCCATCATCCAGAAGATACAAGTGTTTATTAACAGTTGTCTACGCAAAATACTTCGTATTCGTTGGCCAGACACCATCAGCAACAACGAACTATGGGAGAGAACAAACTAGATTCCAGTGGAGGAGGAATTCAGGAAGAAATGCTGAAAGTGGGTAGGACACACATTGCGGAAAGCACCCAACTGCTTCACATGACAAGCCCTTAAATGGAACCCTCAAGGCAAAAGGAAAAGAGGAAGGCCAAAGAACACATTACGCCGAGAAGTAGAGAAAGATATGAGAGGAATGAACAAACATTGGACAGAACTGGAGAGGGAAGCCCAGGACAGAGTTGGTTGGAGAAAACTGGTGGGCGGCCTATGCTCCATTGGGGGTAACAGGCGTAAGTAAGTAAGTAAGTAAGTAAGATACATCCCCGAAGATACTGATCTCCTTTGATGTTTTAATGGGGTATCCCTCTTCCTAGTTTGCTAGCATTTATCTTTTCAACCGAATCCCTCTAAATAGAGAGTGAAGCACTTTTGCAGTTACTTCTATATCCGAATTTAGTGCCTCATTTGTTGCGTTGTCTGGTCCTTCAGCTCTATCACTCTTGATTTATCCGAAGGCTACGCTGATTTCTTCAATTGCTGATGGGTCAAAATCAATTGGGAGGTACGTACGTAGATGCTGTTTCGGTGTTTAGTGGGCTCAGTAGAGCTTCTCTATTTGAAAGTTTTTCAAAGTGTTATATCCACTTGTTTGGCTGTTCTGGAATATGAGTGACTGGTATGCCTTCTTTGTTTTGACTGGTCGTTCTAGTTTAACTTCCTTCTCATCTAACTTCTTCATCTAAGCTTTTCCCGCTATTATTATTAGGTCCGCCGAATAATTATGCTCTTCACCTGCTTGCTTGTTTCTCAGTATTAAGCCTGTATCTTGACATTCTCGCATTTTGTTCGGCTGTTATTGATTGCTGTCTTCTCATTCTTACTCTCTTGAATCCTGTCAACTGTATCACCAATGATCCATTCCTTGTGATGGTGCTCCTTGTTGACCAGAACCTCCTAATACGTTGAAGTTACTGCTTATTTGATCCCTTTACAGTTGTTCTTCATGGTAGTTTTCTCTTCATTGAGTAGATCGTCAAAGGCTTGGAAATTATTGTTGAGAGCCATATCGAATTTGTTAGCTTTGTCACTATGAAACGTTTGTAATGTTGTTTGTTCACTAGTTTAGTGCTTCTTTAGTTTCAGCTCCATCTTGGTCACACGAAGTGGTGATATGAAGTTGTAAGCTCCTCTCTTGATTCTGATGTCCTTCATGGTGCTTCTGAACGCTTTTGTTGATGCAGATTTGATTTATTTAGTTATGGATGTTGTGATCCAGTGAAACCTATGTAGCTTTTCGTGTGCAATTGAGTTTGCATAGGAATATGATGCTGCCTATAACCATTTTGTTGAAGACATTTAGATTTGTGAATCGCTCGCAATGTTCAATCCTATCCCAGTCCATGTCGTTCCGTGATATACATGCATATCCGGTGTTGTCCATTTCAACCATGGTATTCAAGTCTCTCATTTCAAAATCAAGCATACTTGACGTTTCTAAATCAGAAAGACGAACGCAAAAGATTCGTGGAGGGAATTCTTCATTTATTACAAAACAGCCTAGATATTTTTGCTATTCTCAATATACTACTGATATGGAAAAAATAAAAAAAGTGTGTTTCGGATTCTAAATGAATGAGTGAGTTCATTTTTTGTAAGTGTCCCATGTACGTGTCTATGTTGTGGTGGATTTGAGCTCACTCTCCACCACTGTACTATGCATTTTAATAGAGTTGTGCAAATAGGTGCTGTGTTGTGTGCCTAACAACGAGATTGTTAAACACGGCGATAGAGTGGCCAGTGTTCGCCGGGATGAACCTCGGTGGTCCGGGGTGCAGGCTTCAAACCTGTAGCCGATTAGCGTCGGAGCGGTTCGATTCCGCCTTCCTGGCGTGTTGGTGTGATCACACTGTTTGCTCGTAAACAGATTAAGATCTGGGACGTCACCAATCATTACCAGTGGCTATGATCGGACTACTGAGATGGACTCTAGTCGGTGATGTTCGCAACTGGTCTCCAGCCTCCCGGAATATCCCACATGAGTGGGCGGAGCAGTAGTCCGTTTGGTGAACAACAATGTAATATTAAGCTATCAGACATATGTACACATCTATGTGACAATTCATTGTTCCAAATCAATGTCAATTCTGTGATATGCTAATAGCTCCTAATGTATTCATTCATACATGATATTACTTGGAATGTTTGTGTATCCTCAGCTTTTATAGGTTGCAAATTACTACTGTACAGTAGGATTGTGGTTTGACTAACTTATTACTCAAAAACGTTCAAATCAAGGTATGAGCTAAGTGCAAGAAGTTTTCTTAGTTTATAACATCGTGATATATATATATATATATTTATGTATATGCTTTTTTATAGTAGTATTATATTACTTACCAGTGTCTGATAGAAATTATGAAAACTTGTTAATGAGAAAACAACTTACTACATGAATATGTTCTAACTGTATTGCTTGATCTCCAAGTAAACCACCAATCGGGGCTGGCAACACAGAATCCACATGAACATAGTTACGAGTTAATCGGGGCCATAGACGCAGATTACCACCACATGAACTAAGCGCTAAGCAACCAGTAGGCAAGGATGTTGTTTCAACATCATTTGAAGGGAATAGTAATCCAATAAGTGAAGCACTATGAGGTAGATCACTAGCCGGTAAATCGAAGCTTATGCAAGAGGAATGAAGCTAAGGGATTAAGAAAAACAATCATAGACCGATTAGCCATACGAAAGTAGAATACGCTAAAATAAGTTTTTCAGATAATATGACTTGATAAAAAAATTTTCAGAAACAACATACTTGTGTGTTTGAAGATTTTATATACTTCCATAGAAACAACTTGTTTCCAGCGACCACAACTAACCATTCGTTAGCAAAAAATCGTGCATTGGAGGCTAGTGATTAGAATAAGAGTATTGAACAACATAACGGGACTTACAGATAGAAGTACGTAAAGCTTTCGATGGAAAGACTGGGAGACTTTCTGATATTCTTGACACTTGCAGCATTCGTGAAGGATGGATATCCACGTTGACACAAGAATAGGAGAACATTGAACCGGGACATCTTTCATCAAACATTATTGAATTGCACCAGGTAAAAGCTAAAGTACAAAAAAAAAGTGATAACTAGCAAACTATCCACGGAAAACAGAGATAATTTAATCCACCATGCGCGAAATGACTCATGTTTGCAAAACAAATCGGGCTGGTTTTCGACCTGAACGTGAATATATAGGCCACATGTTTACACTACGTCAGGTCCCAAAACATAGACAAATGTTCAGACGTCCCACAATGGTAGTATTTCTTGACCTTAAAGCGGCATTCGACTCTGTAGATCGCGAGGTTCTAAGGCAGTTTCTTTCATTAAAAGGTGTACCTAAGAAGTACATTATACAAGCTCTCCACTCGAATACTAATGGCCCAGTGAGAGCTTATGGCGAAATGTCATCGGAATCGATTACTTCAAGTAGTGTCCGTCAGGGATGTTCACCTTCTCCATTCCTATTTGACTTTGTTATAGACTTTGTTTGACTTTTCAGGAGTGAACCTTCTACCAGGAGACTCACTTGTTGACTTGGGATATATTGATGGCATAGTTCAATTCGGTGAAGACGCTGACAAAATGAAATCTTCTGAATATCTTAAGCAACAATGCAAGCATGTTCGGGATGCGGTTTTCCTCCTCGAATTGCAAAATGTTTCTTCAGGATTGGCCTGCGTCGGCACCTGAACTAGTGATAGGGAGTGAAGTAGTTGAGCGCGTCAAACACTTCACTTATCTTGAGGTTCTCATCGGTGCTGATGGCCTGGTGACTAACGAAATATCAGCACGGATACAGAAGGCTCGATTGGCTTTTGCCAACTTGCGGCACTTATGGCGTAGGCGAGATATTCGTTTGCTAACCAAAGGACGAATGTGCTGCGCGGCAGTTCGCTCCGTCCTACTATATGGATGGGAAACATAACCGGTAAGAGTTGAGGATATTTGTGGGTTACTAGTATTCGATTATGGATGTCTTCGAAGCATTGCTCGTGTATCCTGGGACAATTGAGTAAGCAATGCTGTCGTTAGGAAACGAGTACTAGGTAGGGATGGAAAATCAATTGAAGTATTGAAACTTCACCAATTAAAGTGGTTGGGACATGTGTTATGTATGCCCAACCCCTGACTCCCTCAACCGGCGACGTTGTCTGGTGTGGGGGTTAGTTGAAAAAATGTTAGTGGCGGCCAAACCAAAACATGGCAGAAATCAATGAAGTCATGTTGGAAGGTGTAGACTACCCGGTTGGAGTTTGTTAAACGGTATTAACCGATGGTTAGAGACCTTGAAGGACATGGATAAAAATCGTCTGTAATGACGCAGGTGCATCCACTCTTTGTGTTCTCGGAAATGCTAATCTTCCGAAATTCTCATCACTTCTATCTTTCTTTCTACATTTGTCTCACTGAATTATACTTCTTGAATAATATCTTCGAACTCTAATCTTCTGCTTTACCGCTAATACTTCTACCATCTCTACCACTATAGATTTGAACTGACAGTTGCATCACTGTGCTAATGTGTATGGCAACCTGAACTTATGTACGTACGTAGGAAGTTCTACGTTGTAGCTTACTGACTGTTTACAAAACAGCATTTATACCATTTAATTGATAGCTGCTCAAGAAAAGACGGAGCTAATCCATGCAAAAGCAGGAAGATTTAAAAAAAACGGAATGTAACATTAAGAACCAAGTGTTATAACAGGAAGGATTGGTGACAGGGTGTGAAAAAGGTGTCAATTTGATGGTGCAAAACCATTTTTATTTGTAGCTACTACCGGGGAGTCTCACATGTTGTAGTACATGCGTAGGGCCTTTTAAGGCTTTGCTTAAGATACTTCAGACACCTTAAATACTCACCCACTCACACTTGCTACCAATCGTGGAGCGTAGGCCACCGACCACGATTCTTCAACCGACTCTGTTCTACACTCTCCTTTCCAGTTGTTCCCAAGTGTTATTTATTCTTTTGATATCTGCCTCTAATTCCTAGAGTATGTGTTATTTGTTTTTCTTTTGGTTTTAAAGATTTCAAGTTTGGGCTTTTAGTTTGACACAATTGGGCTATTCCTGCAATGTTTCCTATTCACCTAGCCGCGTTTTCACATAATTCCTCCCCCATCTACAAGCTGAATCGTTCTGTCACGGCGGGTTGTTTCTGACAGCGTCTGGTCAACTGATCTTGGGCATCTTGTGTATATAACTGTTTATAAATACCTATATCTTTTGGATGACGATTTTCATAAGGTTTCAGCTGCATACCATAGAACTGTCTTGATGTTTGCATTATTAGCTCTGACTTTGTTGTTGGTCGAAGTTTCCTCCGATTTTCATATGGCTTTAAATTTTAGAAATATTGACTTTACTAATCCGGGTCTTCACATATGCATCAGATCCCCTTTGTATTCAGACAACACTTGAAGAATGTTAAACCTCATTTGTGTTAAAATGGTAAGTCCATGACATCAATATATCAGGGTTTACTAGAAGTATTTTATACAATCGGATACGAAGCAAAAGAAGGAATTTTTACGACCACTTACGATACAAGCTTTTCAGGAGAAAAGGTTGACAGTTTGTGCCTAAGATTGTCTTCTTAGCAAACATAAGAACCGTAACCAGCTAGCCTACATGCAGCAAGCTGTTTACATATTACCGAGTGTATGTAATGCCAACAACAGTAGGGCATAGTATTGGAACAGTATTGTACTTTCAAATCAAACCGGTTTCCCAGATGACTGGGAATTACGAGAACTACAAGTTATCAAGACTTCCACTTTGTGTAACAGCGAAAGGTTATGCCAAACAGATATGAAACGATTTCATGGACATTAAAACTCATAAGTCGAAAAAGATGAATATTTTATCCGTTCCTATGATGAAGGGTTTCCAAGCTAATTTCAGAAGTACAATTTCTAAAAATTTCAGGCTAATTGAGAAAAAGGATATTTTATATAGTATCACTTGTGTCTTGGAAATTGCTGTGAGAGGAACTAATCAATTATGAAAAGATTTACCTGGACACCACACTTTGTTAGGTGTGCTCCCAAGGTCAAAAGCAGTACTCTAAAGTACCGCTCTGAATAAGCGCGAAAAACACTGGGAGTTTTAATGGCCCCATTTAAACCATCTGTTATACAGAATAAACGTGATGGTTTGTATTAGAGTATTAAAGAGAGTTGAAACTTACGGAGAAGTAAGTTTGGTAAAACGAAACAAAATAGAAAGTGCTTTAATAATAACTTGATGTTGATGGATAGAACAAACATTCGAGTGAAAAAACATTCCGCAATGCGTGAAATTCGCTTCGAGCATCTCCATCCATAATTTTAAGAAAAGCAACTCAACTATCCTGTGAGTCGAAACACCACCTACTAAATCAGGCATCATAGTCGATGAGTCATTTTCTGCAACTTGGAAACATCGACAGAGAAAGACCCAGGATGCTCTAGAGCATGTCAGGTCTCTGTTTAATGAGCTATAACTGTTAAATGCAGTTGATATTCACACTCATAAGCTCCATATAGCAATGATAGTCCATTGAGATGTCATTTTAGGAAGAATCGGTTCCATCACAGAGTATAATTTATTGTTAGAACACGTACACAAGTTCAGAGGAACTGTAATATATCAGCGCAATGCACTAGAGTAAGTAAGATGTTCATTGAAAACCATGTGCAATCGAATGTGTTGGTGATGTTAGTAACATTAAACAACTTCAAAAAAACCCTATATTGAAAACTACCATATTCTCGGTAGGGACTAGATTCCAGAGCTACTTGTGTAACTCTGGTGGGGTAGCACTGTAGGGTGGTTCATATCATGTGCTAAATACGTGGTGTTACTTCTACTTAAGGTAGAAGATCGCAGTATTCACATTCAACAACGATGGACCTTCATAACGGTGATGTACACTATAACATGTGAGGCTTGAATGTGCTTGCCATAAGACAGTTGTAGCGTGATATTTAGATCCCGGTCAGTGTTAGCATGGTTATTTATGCCTCCAGAATAATAACTCTAATCCGATGTGGTGTATTTGTCATATGATCAGCTCGTTCATACCAACTTTCCTTAATTAACAATCAACGGAATTTTTTTAGAAAACATATAGGCTAATGATAAAATATGGAATGTATGGGTGAAGGAGGGACATAGAATGGCTTCACCAACATGGCCAAGTTATGTAGCCTCGATTAAATGTTTCTGCATTGACTATACTTGACCTTCTTCCATTGTTCACAGAATAATATGAACCTTCTGAGTTCATGTGATGAGATTTAACGATTTCTGTTTAGGTCTCAGCGTTGTTCCACAGTCACTACAACTCCCGAAAACGATATAAATTAGTGGCTCTATATCATAGACTGACCGAAATTAGAAACAAGCACCGCCGGATTTCAGTCCATTGGCTTAGATGATGTGTTTGCGTAAGAGACCAAAAGGTTCTAGATCCAGTCCAGAATTGGAAAGCTGTCCAGTTTTGTGGATGCTTAACATGTTTTGTTATTGATATCGATAAGGTTAAGTTACCTCCAAAAATTCTGTACTGATAACTGGAATCTACATCCGTGACGGTCCCAATGTTTCTGACGTAGTTAGGAGGTGGTGTGCAAGGTTAGCAATTCATGGACGTTGAGGAAGCGGAGAAAAACTGTGAACGATACTCAAACAGTACTAGCGGATACAGGAACATATCGAAATCACTTGATTGCCTACCACTGGTAAACATTGCTTTCTTTAAAACAGATTACAATGAGTGAATTGATGGGCTCCCTACTTTCAAAGAATAGTGAATTACGCTATATGAATGGTGGTTTCTCTTTTCAAAAATACCTTGCCCATATTATCTGTCGAAAGAGTACTATGTGACGTGGGGACGTGTATCGATGACTCATCAACTGGGACGTAAAAAATAGTTATAGTTATTCGTCGTCCATTATAACTGGGCGGTGTGCATATGTTGCCTTGATCACACAAAGAAAACAGCAGGCTGTAGCCGCGAATTAAAATTTTAGATAAGTGTCATCATGCTGATCACCTGGTAGATTAAGGTCAACCTGTTATTATTCGATGTTTTTGATCCCTTTTGATATTGACCTCCTTATCTTTTAGCGCCTCAGTTTGGCAGCTTTCCCTTAATGCAGGATTAGCTTTAGAAGTAATGTTGGTAAACTGACCTGTCACTACGGATATCAACCAGGATGGAGTGCTAAAGGCACCTAGCTTTACAGCTACAGGATGGAATGAACTACACCCTGGATTTTTGTGGTAACTAAACGAATCCTAAAACGTTTGGACAGTTGAAAATTCTGTAATAAAAACAGTGTCGGAGGTCGACTTTCAATGTTTTCTGATACGATAGTTCTCCGTCTATCTTTCTATATAAAAAGGTGATATGCTTTTAGTAACCTCTCGTACAGTAGCAATTATTACTGTACCTTATTATTCCTTCCTGAGTTTTTGAGAAGAAGGTCTGCTGTCTAATAGAGGAAGCCAAATGCAGTAAGTAAGGTATGTAGCGAATCTACGAGGTCATTTGTGAATCTACTTGCTGATAGACAATAAAAATCTTGCAAACCGCTGACAGCAGCTATTTAACCAGATACTAAACATCCATTCCATTCACATTTTATACTTGTATACATCCCTGCAAAACGAGATGCAAATACATTAGAATTCATTCATGCAAACAAAGGTATGAAAACCGAAGATTATCTTACCCAGCAATGATACTGTCGAACACGTTGAAGGAGCTGAACTAGTCAAAGACGTGTGTTCGTAAATATGACGCTAGTTAACAGTTGTATAGTTCTATGTTCCTAAAAAAAATTCCATTTAATCCAAAGTAGTTTATTTACCTATATTTATGTATATATAAATAGTGAACTGAGACCACTTATCGTGAGATAACCAAGTAAAACCCCGTCAAGGTCAAAAATCAAAAGGCCGGCTGCGATTGGAAGACGATGTGTATTAATTGCTCTCACTGTTAAATAATAATTTACTCTTACAGTCCGCTTTTAACCCGCAAAACGTCGATATAAGCACAAGATATAGAAATAATAACAAGATACAAATGATAAAATCTCAAAATGGAATCAAATAGAGTACCAAAATATCAAACAGAAGAGTCAGTCATATCATAACACAAATATACATACATGGAGGGATTTTCCAAAAACAAAACCTTCAAAATAGATTCTACACCTGCCCGCAAAATCCCTCCATGCGAAACAAGCCCTCCTGACACTTCAACTTAGGGTTCACTCTCGTCCTCTAATCCACACCGGAAGAACAAGTAGGACTTACAGCAGTACGCCTACCCACCCTTCAACATGGATATGACCTATCAAACTAACTGTGTATCTGAACCTTCCCATCAGATTCTTGATTCTCCTATCTATCGTACCATGACCTAACAGTAGCATAAACTTCATCCAATTAACCCACATGAATACGTATATCACGCCGTAGGGCTGGTCATATCCTATTCGGGATTTACCTTCCACATCATGGGGATGAGTCGTCAATCCACCACCACTTGCTCCGAACGGCAGATACGATGAAGTCCGTGATGCTGACTTATCAACAGAACCTCTTGACCCATAGATAGTATGCAAGGGTGGGATCTCCAACTTTGACATTTCCTCGTCTCCTGAAGACTCTAAGTGGCATAACATATCAAAAATATTTAACTCTCCATCTCCTAGTACAGAGGAGGTTTGATCAGATTTCGTCATCGTCGACAACTCATTTATCACATCAGTGACATCCAGATTATTATCATCGTCATCATGATTCCGTTCAGTCAGACAAGTCACGTTGTTTCTGGCTACACTAGCATACGTAGAGCGAAACTCTTTCTTTGTTGTGTTACTCATCTCGCTACATGAAGGAACATCAATTCAAAACCGATAAACTCACTTGTTGCTCATGTTCCGTTTCAGAAACAGAAGACATGTGCACATCAATAGCATCATTACCATACAACACTGTAGACTGGCTGTTACCATCAGACACTTTCTTCTCATCATCACTCGACTGACAGTCAACCGGAGTAGGAACAGTTACAGTTGCACAACTTTGTGCATCTTCAATCAACTTTACATTTGCGACAAGGCTCGATGACGTCAAAACACTAGAAGGTTCATTCGATGAAGTAGATCGAATAGTCACTATAGATGGATTGCTCACACTTTCTGTCTCTCTACTAACGCTGCCACTACTACGATTCTGATGACTACTATCTCCATTGCTAGTCACAGCATCCGAAAGAGAACGAAGTTTAAGCTTCTTAATAATAGTAGCATCATGTCGTTTCTTATGCCTCTCACCTTGGGTAGCAGTATGTGAGCGTAATGGACGATCATTTTGATGTCCATGAGTGTCTTTCGATGTCCTTCGATCACTATTACCCACAAGAGTATTATCAATACTATTATCCTTAGTAGTCTCAGCTGTAGAAGTAGTAGTACACTTCTCATGACTTCCATTCGACTCATGCACAGTGTCCAACTCTACTCGATCAACATTGCTTTCCTTACTAGGAATGCTCTTAACCTCTTCTGTCTTATCACTGTTGGTAGTGCTCATCCCGATACTTGTAGTACAAGTCAATGATGGTGGAGTGCGACAGGTGGACAATTCCATGCTCGATTCCTCATGCTGAATATTCAACACAACAACATGTCCATGAAACCTAGATGACTCCTCACTGCACCTAGGGCACTGAATGTTAGCCCTCTCAGTAGTGCCATCACTGTGGCTGACGCTATTGCCACCGACGCCTACATTCTCCACGCTCAAACATCCAATTTCGTCCTGATCTGAAGTACTCG